CAGCTGCACTCTCTGATGTCTGAGGGATTTTTTGATGAGGGTTATCCCCTGTTCGGTCGTGCTATACGAAAGGTGGCCAGACAGTGCTTGGGGGAGGTCCCTGGGGATAAATGTCCGGAGTGGAAACTGGTGTATGCGGACCAACTGGCGGCTTTAAGTCAACATAAGCGTCAAGTTGCACTGTCGGCACCTGGTGGGTTTCAGTCGCGTGAGTACAGGAATGCTTGTAATCAGGCAAAGGCTCAGGTCAGCAAATTTATCAATGAGTGGTGGGCGACGAAGGCTCGTGAGATACAAGAACGGGTGGATGCCAAAGACCATAACTATCAGTTTGCTGGGTATAAAGAGCTTAGAAGGGTACTTGCGGTTGGCCGTAAAACGCCAGGTAAGCTGCGTGATGTGAAGGGTAACCTCATATGCACGCGGTCGGGGCGTATCCAGCGATGGAGGGAATATTTTGATTGGTTGCTCAATGTGCCTTCGGATGTTAGACAGGTGCAAATGGACAAGATTGAAGCTTTGGTTCCCGATCCTAGTTTGGGAGAGGTTCCCAGGTTTGAGGAAACGATTGCGGCGGTTGGGAGACTTAAAGCTGGTAGGGCGGCAGGTCCAGATGGCATTGAGGCGGAGATGGTTAGTGCGTTGGATCCAGTTAATCTTCGTGCGCTTCATGAGTTTTTTGTTCGTGTATGGATGGGAATTGATGAGATGCCGGAAGAGTGGAAGGAAGCGTATCTTGTCCCTTTGCCCAAGAAAGGGGATCTAACTTTATGTAAGAGGTGGAGAGGAATACTTCTTGCGTCGATTCCTGGTAAGGTGTTTGCCCGAATTATCAACGCCAGACTCGCACAATTTGTTGAAGATAAGCGAATACTCCCGGAATCGCAGTGTGGTTTCCGCCCAGGACGGGGGAACTAGTATGTTGATTGAGCAGGGTTCTGTGTTGTTCTGCTCAGCTCTCTAACCCCTTTTTTCGCTGACAGTTTTGAAGAATGTGTGCTGTTGCTGCTAGCGTAAGGAGGCTTGGATGGATCCTTACGCCTGTAGTGATCGCACAGGTTCTGCGAGTGGTTTTAGTTTGTGTAGTGAGTTTGATTTGATTACCCGGGTCCATAGGTCGGATGACCTGCGACGGACCTCTTCCAGGGATGTAGAAACTTGGAGCCCATGCCTTGATGTCATTGGGCTAATCAGGGCTTTGGCATCCTCCAGCTTCGGAGATCTGGGATCTTCTGGGATTTGATTAAGAGATGTGGATGGATTAGGGTCACAGGATAGGGTCACGGGCAAGGTTGAAAACTTGGCTCACATGTGCAACTTGGGGGAAGCTCAAGAAACTCAGCTTGGAAGCGCTCTTCCGGACCTTTCGGCCGACAAGCTGGTCAAGACCGGCGAGCAACTCAACAGGCCGAGCCTAATGCGACAGGAGCTCTGGCGGTCTAAGCCGCACTCCCCAACTGCCCCAGGTTCTCAAGTAAAGAAATCGAGAAGCAGGTGGCATCACAGGCACGGAACTACCGTGGCAGCAAGGGTGCTCTAACTGCTCGGAGGGTTGACTCATGGTTGACGTGCTCTTATCCCAGCAAACGCTCCCGGCCTATTACGTCACCTGTCGCACGAATTTCACCTGAGCGGGAGGCAGTTGCGCGCACGCAACATAGTAAAATAGTGCAATGAAGCAGCTTCCCACAATCGGGTTCATAAGTCAGGTTCCGAGTAAAAGAGCACTTGCTACAGTTATGCAGATGGCTCTCAGACTTACCAGCTTCGAGAGTGCTCCATAAGGCGTCTTGCAAATCTTGAACTTACCGTCAGTCTAAGGGGTAGCAACAAGAATCATCAGCTGTGCGGCGTTCGCGGCGCCACCGGATCCTCTCACCGACACCCTGAAACGGGGCAGGTGCCAGCCATGCTACATACCGTCGGTTGCGAAGCAGACGCTGCAAGGCCAGACCCTTGACTTGTTCGACTACCAAAGCTCAAGACCATCTGGTCATCTGCCACTACTGAGATACGACAACTCTTAGCACCGAAAAAAGTGCCTCAATGGATGTCCTTCCTGGACAATCCAGATGCCCTTGGCCTGCCGTCATGACGACCACGACCACGACCCCGGCGACTGCGACTACCACTACCACTACGATCAGGACGACGACGACGACTACTACTAGTGCTGCTACTACTACGACGACGACAACAACTACTACTACAACTACTACTTCTGCTGCTCGAACCCTGGACCCGAAAGCATGCCGAGAGTTGCAGTGCAGCTCTCCAGGTACTCCCTTTAACGGCCTAAGCCCCAGCCTTAACGCCCCGACCGACCCGGTGCTGGCCTTCTCTTCTTTAGCCGCTGCCCGGTCGCCATGAAGTGCCAACAAGCAGAGATGTCCGACCTCGGCTCTTCGAACCCTTCAACGGCTACAGTATAGACATGGGGATGATGATGATGGCTCCCTCACGGGGACTCAATGCGGTAAAAAGTTCAAAGCTTTTGTGCCACCCGCCTGCCTGACTGTTGCCACGCACATCTTGAAGCTTCGAGATGTTCCCATTGTTAGGGCTTGTCCTTTGCATGGACTGCTGAGGTCGCCAGCATCGGCACTTCCAACAGCCATCAACTCGCGCAGCGGTGCGCGTGGTAGATCTTTCAGTCGGTTTCGGCCTAGATTAGTAGCCTTTGGCGTGGGCGCCATTTGCCAAAAAAACAAGCCTTATGGCAAGCCTTTTCTCTCGATCCATCCCTAGACCCTAAACCCTAAACCGTAAACCCCTAAACCCTAAACCCCAAACCCTAAACCACTGTTCAATCTGTTCAGGGATGCTCTGAGCAGTCCTACTTCTACACGACGCCAGGGATGGTCCAACACT